CATCAATGATACATCCACAGTCTACATTCATGTTTGTAGCATGCCTGCACTCAGAGAATATTTGAGCTCTGCAGTGGAGGCATGTGTATGCATACCTGGGCTATCTTTAATTAGTTTGGGGAGTAATAAAAGTGAACCTACAGTGGCACAGACCTAGCCTCTAGCTAAGCCTTGGTATCATCAGTGGCAGTGTGAAGTTTATAGCACAGCCTTTTGTTGCTACAGCTTCACTGTTCTTAGTATTCAGGCTAGGTAGATTAAAGCTACATTCAGATACTTTATTTTCAAAAGAAACACAGCCAAAGTCAATGAGATCGCTTCCATGCATGCAGGCTACACAAGGTTTATACTTGCTATATCCTGCTAAAACACATATTTTAGTTTTACAGATTGTTTGGATCATCCTGAAAATCAGTTGCATCCTTTCTATTTAAAGATTAGTCAGTGCAATATGAAGCACTGCTGCTGAAGTTAATTCTGCTGGTTTTAGCTATACACAAGCATTACAGTCTTCTTCTTTTAGAACAGAATTTTGCTTCACTATTAACGAATGAAAAAAAACTAATGTGGGATACATTATCAAGTTGCCGAAGGTTAACCTTTCTTCATGTCATGCTTGTGAGTGACTGTGCTGCACTAATTAAAAACATTGCCATGGCAATTGCTATAGAAACATTTAAATTGGCATCATTGCTAAGAAATCCCTGCTATTGATCCCAGCAGGGCTTATTTCACACTACACCTGAAGAATCTAAATAGAATATTTTACATTCAAAAGGGCTTTAAAAGATACATTTTTCCAGTTGCTAACGTGCTCAGGAGAATAATGTCATTCATACAGAGATAATTCATTTACCTGGAACTGTTGTAGGATTCTGATATCAGAGTTCTTACTGCAAGGAGACACTGTAATGGTTCTAGGCTACCACCACAGATCCCTCAAACTGTAAAAATAAAAAACATTTATTGCCTCCACTCAGACCCTCTGATTTGCAAAGTGGGGAAAGAATGCAGGTTCTCCACAATTTGAGGCATTAAAATGTTAAATACATGAACACCTCACCTTAAAAGAAGTTTCCAGTGCAACTAGGAAGAAAACCATTTTTCATCGTCTGACAAGAACAATAAGTTGACCGTTGTACTGAGTAAATGGTGGAAGCAGAAGTGAAGCGAGAGAGATTGTACATGTAATTTTGATCAGTTACTGAGAACAAAATCCATTAAAATTCCTGTCTCTGGTTTCAGACTTAAGATCTTTGCTCCTCTTAGAAGTAATCAGATTAGATGTTTACCGTAATGTTCAGTAGATCCAGACTGATCCAGAGTAATTCTCTTTACACTTAATATGTCTAACTATCGTAAAAATCAAAAGTGGGAAATAATGGGCTCTATCTTTTTCCTTTTCTTTTTTCTTTTTCTTTTTTTTCTGTCATTCCAAAAACTGAGTCTTACCTTTCTTGACATGAAGGATACTGCCTTTCCTCTCAGTAGTAGTAAAGTCCTTCTGCTAATTAGCAACGCAGTCAGTAGAGGGCAGCACTACACAGAAAACCACTCATTTTAAACAATCTCAGATTAAGTTCTGTGCTGGCTGGGATAAAATATGGGAACCTTGATTCCTCCAAGAAAAAAACACTCTGTTAAAAAATTGGTGTTTCAACAGAAATAATTTCATCTAGCAGGCTCAGAGCATCTGTGCACAGTGCATTGTGGTCCCTTGAATAGCTGCTCTTCCAGACTGCACTAGAATCCTTTGTTTCAGCATTAAAATAGACATTCTGAGTCTACTAAATGCAACTTCTGACCCACTTGAACAGCTGACTATGAGACAAGATTCATAAGCCAATGATCACCTTGAAGTATTTCTTTAAGTACAAAGGAAAGAGTAGTATAAACATCTTATGCATTTGAATGAGTATGGCAAATAGTGTTTGGACAGAAAGGAATAAGGGCAATTTCAGGAAATTAAAAAAGGGTAGTTTTGAAAAAGCAAAAGTGAAGCATTTGAAATTTGAAATTTTATTTCTGTTTGAAATTATCACAAAACTGAACATGCAATCACATATCTCCAAATGACCAAATGAAAATACATTTTTGTCCCCTATCCTTCCCCTGTTTCAAAAAAAAAAAAAAAATAAACCAAACTAAATCATCTGAGTGGTAGATGTGTCTAAGTTTTGAAATAATGACATTTTGAAGAGAAAATTTAAACTGTTTGACATTTTTGGGCAACTTATTTTTCACAGCAGTCTTCCAAGGCTTAGAGGTTTTATAAAATACATTTTTAGGATTTTTAGTAGTTTCATAGATTCACTATGTGTTAAAATTTTGCCAAATACATGTGTAGTTTTCAGGGCTTTTTGTTTGTTTGTTTTGTGGTTTGTTTTGTTTTAATGTAGAAGAGCTGATATGGTCCAAGAAATCAGAGAAATGAGTCATGACCTTAAATATATAAAAACATAAAATCTATCAGAATAGTTAAGTAGCAAAACATCACTTATATGCAAAACAAGAGCAATCAAATCCAAAATTTGATCAATATGAATATTTGAACACTTTATCATTCAGAATGTATGTAAAATGAACTCCTGAACTACAGTCCAACAAAAAGCGCTGTAATGCAGCTGTGAAAAATCACTATTTGAGGACACACCAAGCAAGCATATCTCAAGAAGAGATAAGAGACTTCAGACCCATTGGACAAACCTAATAATCTGCCTTTTGAGTACAGTATTTTCAAAAATAGCTCCTGTTGCTGTTTACTTTTGTTCTATTGTACCTTAACCAGGATCTAATTTACAAAATCGGAAGAGGAAGAGGCCCTGCAGTCTGCCTCAGATGGTGCAGTGGGCCGGATTTGAGGATCTGGATGATCATGTCTTATGCTCTACACTGATAAATAGTTTTATTAAGTGATAAAAACTACTTCAGTCTATATTATACAGGGAATTAGAATCATCAAATTTAGACATTGATGAAAGATTGGCTGAAGTTTTTTTTTTTTCTTTTGATCTGTATACAATAAGTTTCAATCACAAGGCAAGATCATCACATATGCAACGTGTTTTCCAGTTAATGTCAAAGTTTACTGGTGTTAAATTAGCCACAGGAGAGTTCCCCTTTGCCCCTCTGCATGCAACAGGAACATATTGAGCATTGCAAGGAAGAAAACAAGATTTTAGTATGCCTACATGCATTCAAAGAAAATACATCCACTAATGTATGCCAAGATCTATGTACATGCATGATTTTATGCAAATAGAGTTAATTTGCTTTGTGCTTTGATTCTTCAATTAAAATAAGGAAGTAAAAGAAAATAAGAGTTTTCCTGCATTATGTCCATGATCTTCTGCATAAATTTTGACAACTATTAAATTGTTTTTTTTTTTTTTGTTTTGAACATTATATTAGAAAGTCATAAATATTCCAAGCCTTCACCTCTTGCTCAGCTAAAACTCTGTTTGAAGTTACTAAAAAAAGTTGCTAAGACTTTGATCCTCCTTCAGGATTGCTAGTTAAGATCCTGAGACCATACAGAATATCATCATTTTAAGGAAAACTTCACACAAGGGCAAAATTCTCTCAATTTAAACATTAAGGCCTTTAGAGTACAATTCACTGAATGTTTTCCATTAAACAGTTTTGGTTCTCAACTGACTAACAATTTTCACAAAAAGCATCTTATTTCCAAAAATTTCTATCTTTTTATGCAGAAAAAGACTCCCTTCCCCTCCCCTAAAGAAAAACAAAGTGAAAGTAGCTGCTGGTAATGTTGGGTTGTGGGAGAAAATAGGATAGGTATGTATGGTTTTTTAAACTTTCAAAATTTCAGTATTCTAAAATTTCTGGGTGTTGTGGCTTCTTGCTACTATCACTGTTCATGGACTAGGAGTCGCAAAGCAAATGACACTTTTGCTGGTCAATTAGTTTTCTATGCTTTCTATAATATATAATGACAGCTCAGCTAACAATATCCTGAAGCAAAAGCAGGCTTGACAGGAAACCCAGGTTATGGAAAACACTGGGACATCAGGCACCTCAGTTGTACTGCCAAATAAAGAGTATGGGTTTAAACAAAAATAATGTTTGGTTTTGATTAAATGTTGTTTACGAACTTCTACACAAAACATCAGTGCAGATTTCAGAACAATAATAATAACAATAAGATTCTATATCATGAAAATTCCCATTCATTCAGGAGGGTAAAAAAAAAAAACAAACAAAAAACCCAAAACATTCCAAATGCAGAATTCTGTCCCAAAAGCAGAATTTTATTAACCCCAGCAGGATACCTATGAACCAAAACTTCTCTAACAAGTATTTTTTCTTTCTTGAATAAGGAATCTGCTGAAAGCATCAATAATATTTTAAATTTCATCTTATATTATGAGTTCCTTTGTGCAGAAACAGAAGAGGATCCTCTGGACAATTGGGGGCTAGCAAAAGGGAAGAAAGGAGTTGTATTAATCATGAAGTAACAGAAAATTCAGATTTGCAGACAATTCTGAACAGATAGTAAGAGAAGAGCTGGGAGAGATTAGGTTAGAAGGTTTCTTACTATTTGGGCTGTTTCATTGTGTCAGGATGCTGCTGGTAGCCAAAGTTTTCAAATGAAGAAGTATTTTACTCAGATTGTATTTTAAATTAATATCTATATACAGTGTAAAAGAGTAAAACAGAAGAAGATGAAGGAGACATTAAAGAACTTAAAACTCTCTGAGAAATTCTTGCATGTAGTTGTCTCAAGAAAATGTTCCTACATACAACTGGTCTTTATTTTTATGCTTATATGTAATTTCCATGGGTTATTGTCGTGATCACTAGGCTATTGGTATTCCTGTTTCCCTAAGACCATGGCCATGGGAAAAAAATATTATTGCAACTTACTCAAATACTTTTCTCCATCCTCTAGGTCCTACTTACAAGAGGAATATAACATTTGAAAAATTTGTTCTGGTGAATTATTAGAGGAGTGGAGGCTAACAGCATCACTGTAAATGATGAGGACTTATTCCTTCTTGACAGTTTTGCTTTGGAGCTGTATGTTTCATGCGATTCATATGATGCCATCCCAAAAAAGGACTAACAAGCACTCACGCAGTGAAAGGATAACAGGATTGTCAGAGAATGGTGGAAAAACACTGCACCGCACCAAGCGTGGTTGGATGTGGAATCAATTTTTCTTGCTGGAGGAGTACACAGGTCCAGATACTCAATACGTGGGCAAGGTAAGCCTTGTGTTTAAAGGATTCTTTATAGATGGTGCATCTGACACCCTTGGTATTTTCCCTCCTTCTCCACAATTGTTTTGCTTTTTATATAGCGATGGTCCCAGTTTCTCATTTAAGTTAAACAAAGCACGTCATGGACCACCTGAGGTTTCCATGATTGTTCAAAGTTGTGGGAGAAATGAAGTCATTTAGTGAAAAAAAATAGGAAACTGTTCAGACTAAAATGTTCCAATTTCTTATCACATATGCCCATGCAAGTTTTATCACTGAATCATTTCCAGTTTTCAACTGTTAAACATAAAAATTAAATAAGGGAATAGAGATGACATGCCTTCATTCATCTACCTTGTGGCATTTGCCAGTATACTGGGATGTGTTCTTCCTCAAATGAAATATAGAATTCTATTTATTAACAATAAAATTGCTGTCTCTACACAATTCTAAGTATAGATAAAGTGTTTGAGGAGAAAAAAAAATCTGTTTTTCATCATTTCTGCAATAAACTCAGATCTTAATGGCTTGAGAGACTTTCCATTCTTTGAGACGTATCAACATCAGCTATTGCCGACAATAGCACCTCTGAATTCCAGCTCTCTGCAGTCCTACCTTTTCTGATAACATGCAACTCAAAGATTTCAAGATTTTTAGCCTTTTGTGGTGTCTCACCATACATGGATCTACCTTGTGGTCTGGTATAACTAAACAACCTTGGCAGAGACCTAGAATACACACAGCAACCACCCAGAATGACTTACAAATTAAGGAAATGTTTAAGTTAATAAATGTCCATTCCAGCTTCTGTCATTCATCTACAGTGCTGTCACTAGCTCGGATTGTCAGGTAGCTCTCTCACTTTCTAACTACCAAACATATTGAGACATTTTTTAATTAAAAGACCCCAAAATGTTTTTGAACATTTGCTAATATTTCTGGTCATGGGAGGCATGATCATCTGGAAAATGTGGAAATCACCTCTCTCTGTTACGAAACAAATGTCAAAGAAGCCAACCATGGTAAATATGAACATGATTTTGACCTCATTTATACCATTGCTATGCCCATACAATTCTGTTTCCAGTGAAATTAATTCTGACTTGCAGTAGCAAAAACAAGATGAGAGCCAATAATCCTATTGCTAGGTCTGTTTATCAGTGTATAAAATAGGAAGGTTTGTTGTAGGCAAAGGGATCTTCAACAAAGAGTGAACTAACTCATGGAGAGATTTCTAAAAAAATTTGGTTAGAAGTGTCCTTTAGTATTGAGTAAACTTGCACAGAAAGCATTCAATAAGGTGCACGATAATATAGATCTCTATAGCCGTAAGTTCTGCCTAGACTCACAGAAATATTTTTTTGTAAAAATAGAAAGCTGCCATAGAGGAGAAGTAAGTATCAAACATGGGTTGATTCCAGTTTCAGTTCCACTGTTATAGATGAATGGACTCCAAACCATCTATGCCATTCTAAAACTCAAATAAATTAAGCTTACATCAAAACTGTCATCACTATCTCTGTTTCACACAAGGAATGCCTACATGGTTTATTGCAACAGATGCAAACTTACTCTTCACTTATTCCAGACTAATTAAAAGCCATTGGACCTTATTACCATAGAAAGAAGTCCAGGAAGGAAAACAAATGGCTGTACAGCAGTTGGATCTGAGATGATTCTTTTCTTACAACTCAGATAACACGTTGAGATTTTTCACATTTCACTGCAAAATATTGTACAGAGGCCCTGAGGAAGGGGTTAGCATTACTGATTCTCTAAACAGATGGAAATCACCGCAAATACTACACCATGTTCCAAAGAGATGGAGCTGGATTGAAGTGATAAACTCCATATGGTTGCATTAACTTTAAAACAGTTTATGACATGACAAAATGATCATAGTTCTGTCCTCAGTGGTATAAAACCACAGTAAATCCATTTGAGTTTGTTCAAATTATCCTAGGTACACGTGACATACAGCACCAAGAGGGAGCTGCTACAACAAGAAGTCAACTAAGGAATTTCTTTTTCTTAAAAAAAAGCAACAACTTTTTTGAACAATATTATTCTAAGAAAGGCTTAAATCTCAGGTTTAGTATTCTGCTCAAAGTGATGGTAATTAGCAAACTGGTATGTGTGAATAGAGAGCACTTTTATTCCAACCCATGGGGACTAGTTCACAGCAGTATTCTTATCCAGTCTCTCTTTAATATGGATATGCACAGGCAAATGGATTACTGAGGTAGAATAATAAATGTTGTACTAAAAATTAAATAAACTGAATTAAGAAACTTTATCAGGAAATAAACTTCTAAGAGATCACAGCCGTAATACTAAAAAATTAGTTTTCCCTCCCTAGTTCAATTTTCAAACAATTTTAATCTGTTAGGTCATTGTTTGTGATGCTACTTTGTTGATACTTTATTGTGTTAGGAGTGCATTCTGTTATTGGCAGTGGGGTAAGATCACCTGGTATGACATAAAAGAATAAAATTTATTTACTAAGAAGGATGGGTACCTGGGATGGAGAGCTATTCTGTAACATCCACTCACCTCTCACTCCCACCTCTCAGCCCTCTAGCCCAGTTTAGACCAGTAGCAGTGACCCAGGGGAACTGGACACTTGCTTTGACTGCTGGACTGTCCAAGTCCTGGCTGGCAGTCTGGCCCCTATGAAGGCACTTCTGCCTTGGGCTCAGGCCCCGCTCAGTGTCAGAGCTCCCTGGAGGGAGGAGTTTCTCCCACACATCTGAGGTGTTATCATCTTAAGTAGCGCTTTTTAAAATTACATTTGTCAGCAGCCAATGGCCTCACTGTCCAAGTAGCCCCAGGATGATCTCTTTCCCCATATCTAAGGCCAAATAGCAGTTGTTACTGCGGTTACTTTCTCCCTCTGGTCTCCTTCCCAAATATCTTCCAAGAATGGAAAGTCGTTAACAGCTCCATCATCCCTGATTTTTTGTTTCTTTCCTGCACATACCGGAGTAATCTAAGCAGTTAGAACTGGCAGATGCAATTCTGGTCTCATTTATCTGAGTGGTGCTTGTGGGTAGGCTTCACCCTGTGACAAGAAGTAACTAAAAAAGAGGTCTGGTGTACTTGTAAGGTAGATGAAAAACCCAGCTCCACACAAACCTGGTGTATGGCTCCCAGACTGCTAATGGGGGTAACACGGTGTTAATGGACTCTGAACAGCTAGAACAGAGCTTATGTTCCCAATTATAGTTAGATAGCTTTTAGACGAAGACAGTGGTAGTGATGATAGGTGACCTAAAATGGAGACCAGTAAGTGCACCTAATGCACTTAGCAGAAATAGAAAATATTGCTTGATGAGCACAGCAAGTTAGCATTCAACAGCTGAAAAAAGGCTTGATGGCTAGAACAATTGTAGTAAGAAAATTACTCAATTAACAGACCTAAATCACCAACCACCCTTCAGGGACAGGGCATATATCCAGAACAAATGCCTTGTGAATGTGATGGGAGTCAAGGTAAATCCAGACAACCTACAGTATATCCATCACACATCTTTCTTTCCTTCTCCCAGCTCAGAGGACCTATTTGTCTCATATATTGGTGCATGCGTAAAAAATAAGTGCACAGGAAGTCTTTAAATTTGTTAGGTCCTATTACTTGTACCTGCAACAATGCAAGAACTGCTTATGACATCCTCCAATTTCTTATCCTTTTAAATTATATTCAGGAAATGCTTAGAGAAAACAATTGCTCCGTCATGCTAGGTGTTGTATAAAAAATGCATAGGGAGATAAACTTTGCTCTGGAGAGTTTCAGCTGAAATATTCAGTCAGACACAGGTAAGGTAAGCAGTGTCACAGAGTCCTGTTTAAAAATTTAGCCAAGAAAAAAAAAATTAAAATTTCTAAAACATAAAAATGACTATATTCTTTCAAGATGCCTGTTGCCCAGTGTGAATGTTGAATATCTCAATGAGATCATTAGTGGGAGGAATTTTCAGACGATGTAGTGAGAGGAACTGTAGAACTCATTCTGCCTACTAAGGATTCACAAAAAAGAAAAAGAAAAAATGGGTTAAAATATAACATTCAGAGTTAAATGTATGAGAGAAGTTTCTTTTTAAAGGAAAAGAAACATCTAGCAATGTTTTGTGAAAGATGAAGGAGATGAGAAAATAAAACACCTGACTATATATCATACTGTGGCATTCCTTGTTTTCTGGGATCTCCTTTTCTTTCACTAGGGAGGGACCGTAGATCCAACTTCTCAGCTGCCACTAACTTTAAGCCCCATGCAAAACCTAAGAAATGTAATCTGAAATACTGACATTCTATGAGAAACAAAGCCTACCAAATTTGCTCACTTCCTAAACGAACAATCCAAAGAGATAATAATCTAAAAAAATGGACATGCAATTTAGGAAGTATTAAAATATTGATGGGGATAGTGTTCATTAATTAAAGAAAAAACTAATAAAATGCACAGAAGGCTCTAACCAAGTAGTCCTTTAGGGATAATTAGTTTTATTTTCCAAGCTAATACTGATTTTATGTACCTCCGTTTCTAAATAACTTACCTGATATCCACTTCAGTTATGCAAAATGCCAAATATCCCACCTCTTTAACTTCAGTCCTTATGAAATATCCCTAGGTTGGAAGAAATAGGCCTAATCAAAATCATCAGCCATTTTGGAAAATGCAGTCCTTTATGCTTTGCAACAATATACTTCAGTGATTTCAAGAGACAAGAGATTTTCCCTCCTTTTAAGTCACTCGATTTCATTTTTACATGAAAGCTAGTCTCTCTCTATATCAAACAAGCACTTTGCTAATCAAAGGCTACTAATCTTGATGGGCAGATAATGTGCAAAATTCCATGCAATGGATGTTAGACTAATCATAAACTGTACAATCAAACACCTGTCATATTCCAGAATTTAAAAACAATAAACAAACAACAACAAAAAACTTTTTGTACACTACCTGCAACCTTTCTTTTTCATATTAAGGGGGGAAATACAAAATCAAA